CCGAACCCTCAGGCAGGAGCGCCGCCGCGCTTTCCAAGCGGCGCACTATCCAGTGCGCCACCGGGCCGGCCCCTTTACAGACTCTTTTTAAAAACACTTGTACATAACAGCTTATAAACATGTAGTTAAAGTCTTTTTGGAAAGCATTTATCATCATTTGCACCTTGTTGTAATGCCTTATTCGTGAGGAGGAATAGACAGACATATGGCTCTTATATTTGAGAATATGACCTATTTCTATGGTCATATTGCAAGTTTTACAGTCTTCATTGGTTTGCAGCTTAATATTTTTGCTTCATTTGATTTATTGTGCCTACTTATGGGTTTGTGAGTTCCCAGTTAGAATGAAAGCCTTTTGAAGTTCATCATTGTATATCTAGCACTTAAAATTAAAAATTAAAGTGCCTTTATCATGCTCATATCTGCTCCCCAGATTAAAAAAAAATTTTTTTCCCCCTATTTTGAGCTTGAAACTTTTGCCTGCTCTCATGACCCATTTAGTTAAAATGCTTGCTGTCTTCATTAGGAGCCATTAACACTTCGAAAAAAGTTTTATTTTGTCTGACATAGCTATAGATTTTACTTGTTTATTCTTCCCCACCCCCAGGCCAACTTCTTAATAATTATTCTTACAGGTTGTCACCAAAATATATTGAATTCCCTCCGTTTACCTTTAAAGTAGTTGTGATATTTATTTTTAGTAATTCTAGAAAGTATAGAAAGGGTTTAGTGTTATCATACTTTGTATGGGTGTTATAAAGATACATGAGAATAATAAGATGTGTAAATCAGAATTGATTATTTTATTTAGAGAATGAGAAAATGTTAAAATTAAAAAAAAATTTTTTTCTGTCTCTGTGAACCTAAGAAAATATTTATTTATTTATTATTTTTGCTTTGTGTTTTTTTGGCAACTGACTGATACAGGGATCAAACCCTGTACCTTGGTGTTATCAGCACCACACTCTAACCAACTGAGCTCGTTGGCTAGCCCGGAAAATACTTTCTTAATATTAGATTTTAAAAAAATAAGCATTTGATTTGTTTAGTCTTTTGGGCAATTGGCATATTATCTTTTTATGAGATACTAAATTATTTGTGGTATATTTTATTTTTTTGGTGGCTGTCTAGTACAGGGATCAAATATTTCTGGTATAGTTTAAATATTTAAAAATAATTTGGTAGTCATAAAATTACTCCTGTCTAGCCTTTGCTGAGCACATTATTTTTTTAAAGAAATTTATTAGTGAGCTTTTGAAACAACTTAATCTCACGTAATTATTTGGTTATATGTATAGATACCTGAGTTGCATGAAGATTTAAAATATTTGTGTCCTTTAGATACTCAAAGATTATTGAATAAATAAGTGAACTAGTGATGCCTTAAAAATAAATCCTAAGCACGGTCAGCTTGCTGATTTTTTTCACCTTGTTATTTGTAGGTTTTGAGTTAAAATATAAAAGTACTCAAAGATTATTGAATAAATAAGTGAACTAGTGATGCCTTAAAAATAAATCCTAAGCACGGTCAGCTTGCTGATTTTTTTCACCTTGTTATTTGTAGGTTTTGAGTTAAAATATAAAAGTACTCAAAGATTATTGAATAAATAAGTGAACTAGTGATGCCTTAAAAATAAATCCTAAGCACGGTCAGCTTGCTGATTTTTTTCACCTTGTTATTTGTAGGTTTTGAGTTAAAATATAAAAGTACACTGAGTGGGCACTGTGCTCCTGTTCTGGCTTGTGCTTTTTCCCATGATGGGCGGATGCTGGTCTCAGGGTAAGCTATTTAGTTTAATTTTCTGAAACTATTTTGATATGAAATAGAACAGACATACAGAAAAGTATGTAAAACATAAAAGAATAGCATATGCATACTCAAGTATTGTTAGCTGCTAATAAAATTTCTCACTGTGTTTTAGCTGGAATTTAATATTTAAAGCTATAACTGATTTTTTACATCAAGAATGCATTATATGCTTCTCATCTTGTCTTCGATTTAATGTTTGAACTTTTAAAGTATAATTTCTATTTTGAACTTGTGACAAAGATTCTGTAGCCAATACTCATCATTGGATGGCCTACTGAACAGAAATTGTAAGCCTTCTAATAGGTGTGACTCCTGTGGTCAAACTATAATCAGCTACTTTTTAATAATAAATACAAATGTTAATGTTATACAGAGTGTAGTAACACTTATATTTGCAGATGTTTTCTCACCTTGCAACATATGTCATGGTGGCATAAAGACTATTTCTAAGAGGGGGGAATACCAGATAGAAGCATATTTATCTATTGCTTTTAATTATGTGCTTTGTTATATTTTAGTTTTCTTTGTATGATGATCTTTTCCCTGCTAGAATAAACCCAGATGGTTGCTTTTCATTTTTATACCACTAAAAGGAACCATGTAGTTAACATCAAGTTTAGAATTATAACTTTCAAAAATGGGTCACAATCAAAACAGGTATATATAGATTAGTAATTAAGGCACAGCCATATGCATGGTAAAAAGCAATACTATCTGAAGCAAAGCTGAGTAGTAATAGTTTTCTTTTTTTTTGTAATGGTTTTTCCATTTGAGTTACTAACTTGACGTGGAATTATGTTTTATGTATGTATCATAGGTGCTTGTTCTCTTTATGGCTACATAGTGTAAATAGCATATGCTGTTGTTTTAATGACGTGTATAATTTTCTGTTAAATTATATATATATAACATATCGTTTTTTGAATAAGAGTTCATACATATGAACAGAAACAGACTGCATTCTAAATGTTTGTATGTCAGATTTCAGCCTTTCCTTAAAAAGTTACTAAAATGCTTTAAAAATACTAATTACATAAATGCTATACTTTGTTTTTACAGAACTTTTCACCCATAATTTTCTTTTTCTTTTAAAGATCAGTGGATAAATCTGTCATAGTATATGATATTGTAAGTATTTCAAAATCTTCTGTGTGATCCATGTAAATTATATTTAATAGACTACTGAACTTAAGTTTAGTTAAGCACTATAGAAAAAGTATGTATGCTTTTTGTTTAGTAGGCCCCAAAATATAACATGTACATTTTCACAAATGTTAAAATAGTTATGCAGGTAAGGTATTGGTTCTGGTACAAGCCCTTAAATATTTCAATAATTATTTTAATATGGACAGATTTTAAATCTGATCAGAGAAAATACAGATTTAAAGAGCACCAATATCTAAAAAATTACTTTCCGTCAATTATTAAACTTTTATACCAGGCTTCTATAACAACAAAGAATGAATGTTTACCCCAGGGTTTTTGGAGAGTATTACTGAGAGTGCGGCCTATCATTCTTAGAGTCCTGGCTTGATTTAGAGACTAGCATAAGAAAGAGTAGGTCATCATGGACTTGGAAAAAGGGAATTTTTGGCAGTTCCATGTGACTGAGTTGCATGAGTATAAAGAAAAGTGAATGTTTTACACGTAACAAAGATGTAGTTGATGAAAGTATTCTCTAAGAGAAATCAGTGTTGGGTTGAGCCTTGTAATGATTGAGTTCAGACTGTAGCTATGCCAGCAAGAAAATGGAGATGTAAATCATCAAAGTGTAGTGGGTCAAGCAGGTAATCTAAACTAGTCTTCTACGCGGAAGTTCAAGTCACTGAGAGTTCTGGCAGGAAATGGGAAAGAATACTCAAGCAAGGTGAAGTAAATCCTTAATATTTCTCATGAACTTCTCATGAGATTTTACATCCACAAAAATAATGATAGCATTACATTTTCTCTGTAAAATATGTGTGAGTTCCAGTTAAATACACCTAGATGTTGGATGGCCACCTAAGTGTACTCAAAATCTAAGTGACTGTATTAGTCCATTTCTATAGCTTATAACAGAAATACCTGAAACTGGGTAATTTGTAAAGAAACAATATTTATTGCTTACAGTTTCAGAGGCTGGGAAGTCGAAAGTCCAGGGAAAACATCTGGTGAGGACCTTCTTTGGTGGTGACTTCAGTGACAGAGGGTATCACATTGTGAGTAGAGAGAGAGCGAGCTTCTCATGTGCTCTCCTTTTAAAGCCATCAGAACCATGCCCATGGCCACTATTAAACCAGCTTATAACGCAGTGAATGGATCAGTCCATTCACTCGGCATGGTACTCACAATCCGGTCATCTCTTCAAGGCCTCACCTTTCAATTACCATAATGGGATTTCCCATCCTCAACAATTTCAGTGGGGGTTAAACTTCAGTGAATTTGGGGGGACATTCAGTCTACACAGTGAACAATTTCTACCCACTGGTCCTGCAGTGTTTACAAGTCAAATGCCATAGTAAAAATTCAAATTATTTCATATAATAGAAGTTTAGGTTGCTATTAGTTCAAACAAATCAGCAAATGCCAGGGGTCTACTATACTAAAACTTCTAAGAAGATGGACAGTAGACAACAATGCTAATAATTGAGAAGAAGTGAAATAAGAACCTGATCATACTATTAGTTATAGATGCCAGTCTCTATTATTCATTGAGTAAAGTTTCAATTTACATTGGTTATTAGTAATAACTATTAGAATACATGTAGCATATAAACCATTTACATCAGGTGAGTCTTTATCAATAACTTCCCTTTTGTCTGAGTAAGTATAAAGCTGTTTTTGTTTTTCAGAATACTGAGAATATACTTCACACGTTGACTCAGCACACCAGGTCTGAAATTAACCTCTCTTTGTATTGATATAATTAAAAAATTAGTCAGAAGGTACATGTATTAGTTCGTTTCTGTTGCTTATAACAAAATGCTTGGAACTGGGTAATTTATAAAGAAAACAAAATTTATTGCTTACAGTTTCAGAGGCTGGGAAGTCCAACACAGTCCAGGGAACACATCTGGTGAGGGTCTTGGTGGTGGCAACAGTGACCCAGGGGTCTCACATGGTGAGAATGGTGGAGCAGACGGAGACTCACATGCTCTCCTTTTAAAGCCCCCAGAACTACGCCCCTGACCACCATTATTAATCCATTCACTATGGCATGGTCCTATGATCTAATCACCTCTTCAGGGCTCCTCCTTTCAATTATCATAATAGGATTTCCCACCCTCTTTACACCGTCACAGTGGGGACTGAGTTGGGCAGACATCAATTCACAGCAATACATAATAGTTGTATTTATTAATTAGGTATGTCACAACTTGTGCCTTTGCACCCAATATCCTTTTACTTGCTACTGGATCAATGGACAAAACAGTGAACATCTGGCAATTTGACCTGGAAACACTTTGCCAAGGTTAGTAAGGACATCATCTTTAAACCAGCTTGACTCCACTAACCGTTAAAATCAGAAATTCAGTAAGTCTTTTGAGAAGTTATTTACATTGCTTCTCTCAATATAAAGTATACATCCAAATTTAATATACTTTTAAAATAGTTTTACAGAAGCCAGTGTTAAAGTAGTTGACTTATGTTAAAAAAAACTGTTGATAAATGCTTTGAGGTCGGTGCATAGTCATGTATATCACACCTCCCATGGTTTTATAAGCTGTTTATTTCTACCTCATACTGATTTTTCAGATAAATATGGCCTGAGGACAATAGAAATTATAATTATATTTTGTTCATTTTATTTTTGGCCTCATCAAGCAACACTGGCATATAATTTGGGAGTTTTATTTTTATTACTATAAGAATTAACCAGATACTGGTGCTGATTTACAGATTTTAGAGCAAATAGAACATCTTTGCTGGTATAAATTTATGTAATAAAGAAAAATTGCTTTTCTGGAGTGAAAAAGAAAAAAGTGCAAAAGAGTTAATGTTAATGTTGTATTAACTAGATAATATTAAATGACTTAATTATAAATAGTGATATTTGATTTTTTAAAATTCTTAAAAGGAAATTAAATTAGTAAAACAAAGATATAAGGAAATTTCATTTACTTTGTAGTTCCAGTGCAAATGTTTATAAAGGCAGTTTTTTTTGTTTGTTATTTCGTGTGTGTGTGTGTGTGTGTGTGTGTGTGTGTGTGTGTTTTAAGCAAGGAGCATGGAAGATCAGCTGAAGCAATTTACTGAAGATTGGTCAGAGGAGGATGTCTCAACATGGCTTTGTGCACAAGGTTTAAAAGACCTCGTTGATATTTTCAAGATGAATAACATTGATGGAAAAGAACTGTTGAACCTTACAAAAGAAAGTCTGGCCGATGATTTGAAAATTGGTAAGATTAGTGAAAAATAGGCAGTCTTAAAAATGACTTTAATAATTTATTCTGGGGTTGGTTTTAGTTGCATTAATGGTTTCTTAATGTTTTAGCATAGTGATTATTCTGGTATATGTCTTTTTATAGAAGAAGAGTATGTTTTTATTAGGTAGGGAAAAGAAAATGTTAGATAGCATTTCTTTGGGTAACTAAACCTACACCACAATTGTAATTTTAAAAACTTACGTATTTAAAAATTGAGATATAATTCATGTACCATAAAATTCACTCTTAAATATACAATACAGGAATTTTTAACATATTCAGAGTTGTGCAACCATACCACTATTTAATTTCAGAACATTTTCATCATCCCAAAAAGAAACCTGTACCCATGAGCAGTCACTCCCTACTCTTCTTTTTCCCCAGCCCTTGGAATCATTAATCTACTTTCTGCCTGCACATATTTGCCTATTCTTGACATTTCATATAAGTGGAATCATACAGTATGTGGCCTTTGTGTCTGGTCTGTTTCACTTAGCATGTTTGCAGGGTTCATCCATGTTGCAGCATGTATAAGTCCTTCATTTGTTTTTATGACTAATTTTCCATTGTATGAATTTATTACTTTTTGCTTATACATTTATCAGTTGATGAAATTTGGGTTATTTCCTTTTTTTTTTAGGTATTATGAATAATGCTGCTATAAACATTCATGTGCAAGTTTTTGCTTGGGCATTTGTTTTCCATTTTCTTGGATATACAATTAGGAGTAGAATTAATGGGTCATATAGTAACTCTGTGCTTAACATTTGAGGAACTGCCAGACTGTTTTCCAAAGCAGCTGTGGTATTTTACAATCCTACCATCAATCTATGAGGGTTTCAGTTTCTCTACATCCTCACCAAAGCCTGTTTGCTTTTTTGATTATAGCCATCCTAGTGGTTGTGACATGGTTTCTCATTGATTTTTTTTTCTTTTTGTCCTTTTTGAGACTGGCTGCACCTCGCTCAGCCAGTGAGCGCACCGGCCATCCCTATATAGGATCCGAACCCACGGCAGGAGCACTGCTGCGCTCCCAGCGCCGCACTCTCCCGAGTGCGCCACGGGCTCGGCTCCTCATTGATATTTTGATGTGCGTTTCCTTGATGACTAATGATGTCTTGGCCCATTGGGGCTGCTATGACAAAATACCGTAAACTGGGTGGCTTATAAACAGCTGAAATTTATTTCTCACAGTTCTGAAGGCTGGGAATTCCAAGATCCAGGCACTGGAAAAGTTGGTGTCTAGAGAGGACCTGTTCCTGGTTCATAGATGGCACCTTACCCCTATGTAGTAGAAGAGGCAAGCTAGCTCTCTTTTACAAGGGCACTAATACCATTCATGAGTGCTTTACCCTCATGACCTAATCACCTCCCAAAGGCCCCACCTCTTAACATCATCACATTGGTGATTAGGTTTCAACATATGAATTTTGGGAGGACATATTCAGATGATTGCAGATGTTGAGCATCTTTTCATGTTCTTTTTAACTGTTTGTATATCTTCTTTGGAGAAATATCAATTCAAATCCTTTGCCCATTTAAAGAGCTGGATTATTTGTCTTTTTATCATTGTGCTTTAAGAGTTGTTTATTATTCTGGATATTAGATTCTTACCAGATATATGGTTTGGAAATATTTTCTCCCATTCTGTGGGTTATCTTTATATTTTCTTGATAGTATCTTTCGATACACAAAGTTTTACATTTTGATGAAGTCCAGTTTATCTGTTTTTTTCCCCCTTCTGTTGCTTGTGCTATTGGTGTCATATCTAAGAAGCCATTGCTTATTCCTTAATCTTGAAGATTTACACCTATGTCTTCTTCTATGACTCGTAAAGTTTTAACTTTTCCATTTAGGTCTGTGATCCATTTTGACTTAATCTTTTAATATGGTGTGAGGTGGGGGTTCACTTAATTCTTTCAGATGTGCATATCCACTTATCCCATCACCATATGTTGAAGAGACCATTCTTTTCCTTTTGAGTTGTTTTGGCACCTGTTGTAGAAAATCAATCGATCATAAATGTGAGGGTTTATTTCTAGACTCTCAGTTCTGTTTCATTGATCTATATGTCCATCCTCAGGCTGGTATCACACTGTCTTGATTATTGAAGTTTTGTAGTGAGTTTTGAAATTGGGAAGTGTGTGTCCTCCATCTTTGTTGTTGTTTTTCCGAGATTGTTTTGACTATTCTGGGTCCCTTGCATTTATGTATGAATTTTAGGATCAACTTATCAGTTTCTGCAGAGCCACCTTATTATATGGTCGTATTAAATCTGTAGATCAATTTGGAGATTCTTGCCATTTTAACAATATTAAGCCTTCCAGTCCATAAACACAGGATGTTTCATTCAGGTCTTCTTAATTTCTTTCAACAATGCTTTGTAATTTTCAGTGTAAAAGTCATTTTCGAAGTGTTCAATTCAATGATTTTTCATGTATTCATAGAGTTGTGCAGTCATCACCACTGTCTAATTTCAGAACATCTTCATCCCCCCAAAAGAATTCCTGTATTGGTTAGCAGTTATTTTCCATTCTGTTCTCTCCCTAGCTACTAGAAACCACTAATCTACTTTCTGACTCCATGGATTTGCCTATTCTGGACATTTCTTGTAAATGGAATCATACAGTATGTGTTCTTTTGTATCTGGCTTCTTTCATATAATATAATACTTTTTTTAAAGTATTCAAAGTTCATCTATGTTCTTGTAGGGTTATTAATTGACCCAATTTCAATATTGGTGTATCAGGGAATAGGGACACACAAGGAGAGGGAGAGATAGGGGAATGGCTGGTTGGTGGAGTAATCAGAACACACAACATTTATCCATTAAGTTTGCCATCCTGTATAGGCATGGTTCTTAGTGCCCCAAAACAGTTACAGTAGTGACATCCAGGATCACTAATTACCAATCGTCATAAAAGATATTATGATAATAAAGTTTGAAATTTTGTGAGAATTAACAAAATGTGACACAGAGACACTCGAGCATATACTGGTGGAGAAATGGTGCTGATAGACACAGGATTGCCACAAAACTTCAATTTGTAAAAAAAAAACCAGTATCTGAAAAGCACAATAAAGTGAGGTATGCCTGTATGTGAGCCCTTTTAAATCGCTAGGAAGCTTGTGGAGAAATGGTGCTGATAGACACAGGATTGCCACAAAACTTCAATTTGTAAAAAAAAAACAGTATCTGAAAAGCACAATAAAGTGAGGTATGCCTGTATGTGAGCCCTTTTAAATCGCTAGGAAGCTAATGGGCTTTTAAGACCCTAAATAGGCACTTTTGTGTTGAAATAGCTATCTCTTGAATTTGGATAGTGACCTCATAAAAAATCTGAGGGAATCTCTGAGTCATAGGTATTTTTACAGAATCATTCAATATGTAAAGAAATCATTGATTTGTGTTGTGGTGCTTTTAAAAAATTGTTTTAAAAACCCTCAATTTGGTTTTAAGAATGGCGTAAGAAAGAAGTCATAGGAAAGCAGTCCCTAAGCAGCGGGTAGCTGCTAGGTTGACTTGCCATATTTACATAAATATGGGCAACAAGCCCAGATAGATTTAAACAGTTTATTACTATGGCACAGCAGGCAGCATGAGATTCACATTCTAATTGATTCCCCTTTCTCCCTAAGTCTCATGGGGGTGATTTGTGTTTATGTCATAGCTGAGGAACCTTGAGCTTATGAAACCCCCAGTCTTGTAAGGTAACTGCTAGCCCAAGAGGAAGACATCTTTATATTCATTAGGAAACAAATGTGCCCTGTGACTGGGAGGGAGACACTGTCTCTAGCTTCCAAGGACGTTTACAAGTGTTCTTGAAAAGATTGAGAAAAAGGTATGTAAGACATCTATAAACACCATGGAGAATTACCTCTGAACAGAAAGCTGATTTGGCCTTTTACAGGAACAAGAGGCATTTCAAATGTTATTTTCTTCTACCTACCCCACCCCCAATACTCCAGCCTAAAGTAGAACTGTCAACTAGTTCTAAAAATGTAAATAGCCAATAACACTAAATTTCCTAAAATTAATTACACTAGAACTCCTAAAATTAAAAATTAGGATAATTTTTAAAAATTAATAAAAACGAATGGAACTGTGCATGCAGTTTTGGACAAACAGGTGAGCTTTATTTGTGACTTTCATGTAAGAATCAGCAAATATATCCAATTTTATTAAATTTAAAAATCTTATAACATTGAGTTTTTACATTAACCCAACATCTATAAAAATGATTTGTAAGAAACATTTTGCTGTATAAATTAACCCCCCAAAAAATGAAACTTTTCTGGATTTTGTGGCATATATTAGTGTCTGGCAACCTGAAATTCTTGAACCTGCAGAATCTAAGGTTGTTTAAAATAAGCTATTAGCTGCTGATATATTTTAGCCATACACTATTCTATACTACAAAGATTCACTAAGGAATTTATAAAGAAAACAGTTTTATGTGGTAAAACAGTATGTCAAAAGATTTTTTGTTGTAGTAAAGTCTATTTGCTGAAGACCTGCATGAAGATTACTAGTAGTTCTCCAGCCCTAACAGAATAATTTCTTTCCAGAATCTCTAGGGCTACGTAGTAAAGTGCTCAGAAAAATTGAAGAGCTCAGGACCGAGGTGAAATCCCTTTCTTCTGGAATTCCTGATGAATTTATATGTCCAATAACTAGGGAACTTATGAAGGATCCAGTCATTGCATCAGGTATGTGTGATGCTATAGTAAATTGCAGGGCATGTTTGTGTTAAATGAATACATAAGGTAGATAGTTCACAGAAGTTTGCTTAAATGTGATGAATTTTCACAATTCCTGTTTTATTTCTCATAAGTAGTTTCTGGGTTTTTTAAATAACTAGGGAACTTATGAAGGATCCAGTCATTGCATCAGGTATGTGTGATGCTATAGTAAGTTGCAGGGCATGTTTGTGTTAAATGAATACATAAGGTAGATAGTTCACAGAAGTTTGCTTAAATGTGATGAATTTTCAAAATTCCTGTTTTATTTCTCATAAGTAGTTTCTGGGTTTTTTATTTTTTAAGAACTCATTAGACCTGGGTGAACAATTGAATGTTGTATATTTCATAATAAATAAAATTGGACAGAGTAGGTTTGGAGTCGACACAAAAGGATTAAGTTTTATAAGTTAAACTTGTAAAATGTGTATTTAGTTACCAGAATGCAAAGATAAAATACTATTTTTTTGAGTAGACTGTTATGGTCTCTTATGTTTATTTTGTCTATTATGAATTTAAACAACCTTACAGAAGTAGAATTTAAAGATGATAAATGTGTTAGTCTGATTCAGTTGCTTATAACGAAATACCCAGAAATGGGTAGTTCGTAAGAAAACAAAATTTATAGCTTACAGTTTTGGAGGCTGGAAAGTTCAAAGTCCAGGGAACACATTTGATGAAGGCCTTCATGGTAGTGACAGTGACCCAGGGGTCTCACATGGCAGAAAGTGGCAGAGCAGAGAGAGTGATAGCTCCTCACTGCTCTCCTTCTAAAGCCCTGAGTACCACGTCCATGACCACCATTTTTAATCCATTTACTAGGCATGGTCCTCAGAATCTAATCGCCTCTTCAAAGCCCTACCTTTCAGTTACCATAATAGGATTTTCCACCCTCTTAACACTGTCACAGTGGGAGTCAAGTTTTGGGGGGACATTCAATCCAAGGCAATAAAGTTGTGGCATCCTACATTAATCTCTAATCATTGTCAGTGAACATAGATGTATGTACTCTAATAATGAGTGACTTCACATTATAGTGTTTCTTTTTTAAAAAAATTTTTGGCCTAAAACTTTATTATATACATTTCTGAATATTAGTCTATGTAATTTTCATTTGTAATATCTTTATTCCATTGTGGCTGTATGCTACATTTTGTTTGACTCTTCTAGTTGGTGTGTGTATGTGTCTGCAAATCTTTATATTGTAAATAGCATTACACCAATATCTTACATGCTTCTTTCTGTTGTTACCATTACTTAGGTAATGTTATTTCCAGGGGATGTGTCCCCAAGCAGAAATAACCAATCAGAGACTATTTTATAAATATGAAAGAGAACAGTTTTAATAAATTTTGTTAGATTTATTAGGTAGTTTTCGGGGAGGGGGGGAGCTAGAGTACTACCAGCACTATACTTGTGTACTTGTTTTCCCACAGTTTTGTAATCATTGAATTTTATAGCTCCATTTATTTTTGCTAGTTTAATAATTGTTTGAAACTGTATTCCTTACATTGCTAGGGAGGCAATGAATTTTTCTACATGGCAGTTTACCATTTAAATATGCTTGAGTATTCATCTATATGGTTAATTAACTTATCTGAAGGACTTAGATACTCACCTTATATATTTTGTCCACATGGTTAGTGGGACAAGTCATTAGAGTCTTATTTTAATAAACTTGATTGTCTCTATTTGCTCTGAACATTGGAGGCAATATATTTCATTAATATAACTATAAACAGTTTCTCCCGTTTAAAAAAATGACTAGCTTTCTTACATTTGGAATTTTATATTTGCTCTGAGATAATGATTAAAGTGAGAACCTGTTTGTATGTTTTGCAAATATCTTTTTTAAACTGTAACGTAATATATGCTTATTATGCTAAAAAAATTTCAAACATAAAGGTTTATAAAGTGAAAAATCACCTTATCTGGTCCTAAGTCCCAAAGGCAAGAATTAGTACCAGTTTAGCATAAAATTCTGGATATTTTTCACTGGGTATGCTTAAATATCCCATTTTTAATACTAATAGAATCAAGCTATTTTTGTAAAATGGTGTACACTGTTGTGCATCATGTTTGCTTTTTTTGTTTGGTAAAATGTCCTTGGACATTTACCTTTTTAAAATATATAGTCATCTCTAAATGCTGTTTTAATTTTTCTTGATTTAGTTCCCAGGGAAAGAAGCAGGCATCACTTTATCTACCTTGTTCCTTTTTAAAGGATGCCTGATATTTAAGTATATCTTTGTCCTATAACTTATTTGATTCCCTGTTGATTTTTTTCTGTTATAAACTGTGCAGCAGTAAAAGTGTATATAATTTTCCTTGCAATCTTAATGTGAATATTTTTCTAGGATAAATTACCTACAGGTGAAATTACTGAAGGGTATTGACAAATTGCCCTCTCAACAGAGCACAGAGATCCCTATTTCCCCCCATCCTTGCCTATACTGGATATTAGCAATCTTTTAATCTTTCTTAATCTGGTAAGAGAAAAGGAATCTCAGTTTGCATTTCTTTCTGTAATACTGAGGTTGATTACCTTTTTATGTTTTAACCATTTATAATTTTCTTATGTGATTCTTATTCATAAACATGTAGTTCAAATTCATTTCCTTTATTTTAAGTTTTTATTCTTTAGTAAGAAATATACTTATAAGAGGCAGTGTGGCACCAAAGAGCCAAACTACCTGGATCTGTTTCACTACTTGTTAGCTGTGTTTCCTTGTGGGAGGCCATACAACCTCTCTGTGCCTTATTTTCCTCATATACAAAATGGGGATACTAGTACTTACCTCATGGGATTCTTGTAAGGATCTAATCAGTTAACGTAAGGTACTTAAAACACAACATAATTTTCTATGAGTATAGCAATGGCTATATATTTTTGGCTCTGGTATGTTATATCAAGACTCTTGTTTGCATTTGTAAGAAACTCAATGCAAGTTAGCTTAAGCAGGAATGACGATTTATTAAAAGTGAGTCTCAGGAAATACTGGTGCCAGAGACTTGAGTGTAGTCAGGGTTCTGTCTCTTATCTATTCAGAGGCTTCTGAGTATTCACTTTATGTGATGTTCAATGTTTTTTTCTCACATGATATTAAAACATGACCACCAAAAGGTACCAAATTTTACAGTTCCACTCACCAGAGAGACCAATCTGACATTTTTTTTTCTGGCCCCAACTCCAAAAATCCCAGAGAAAGGAATCATCGGTCTAATTTGAGCCAAGACCCTACTGCAGTAGTAATGCACTGTAGGAACAAGGCAGAGTAGTATGATTTGCCCAGCTGTGGAGAGTAGGGTCTTCCATAAACATGGCAACCTCATGACAAGGAGAGTGATGGAAGGGGGTGTGGTACTGACCAAACAATAAATATCCACTACAGAGATTTTCCATGCCTTTACGTTCTTAGTAATATATGCTTTCAATTCACGTTTCTTTTTTTTTTTACCCAAAGATTGTTAGGAAAACTGTTTTAAAATTTGCAAGTGGTTTGGTTAGTTTTGAGGCTGTTTTTTGGGGAAAAGGTGTTTATCAGAGAATATAAAAGAGTGTTTCTTTGGGAATTTGAGATTTTCTTTGTATATTGGTTCATTGTTAACTTTCATAAAATTTCAGTGGATATTTATAAAAGAAGTATCTTCTCTTTGAAGAATTTTTTTTACATTATTGACATCAATATACAATGTATCAGTATATTAACAGTATATCAACATATAGATGTCAACCTTGTTAAATTATCTACTTCACATCCTCTATAACATGGCTGTCCAGTAGAATGTTTAGTGATGATAGAAATGTTTTCACTCTGTGCTGTCTAATATAGTATCCACTAGCCACATGTGTTTATTGAGTACTTGAAATGTGACTGAGGAGCTGAACTTTTTATTTAATTTTGATTTAATTCAGATGACCACATGTGTATACTATATTGGACAGACTTTTTATTTAATTTTGATTTAATTCAGATGACCACATGTGTATATACAGCTCTATAATCTAACTTTTTTGGAAATTTTGAGGTATAATTTACACACAATACCTTTCCATTTTAAGTGTACAATTTGATGAGTTTTTATAAGTGTATACACCTTTGCATGTACCATCACAGTCAAGATATACAAATATTATCATCGCAGAAAGTTTTTTCCCTTTGTAACCAATCCCTTAGGTAACCATTGATCTGCTTTTCATCACTACAGGTTATATTTGTCTTTTCTAGAATTCGATATAAATGGAATCAACCAGTATCAACTCTTTTGTGTCTGGCTTCTTTTGCTTAATGTTTTTCAGATTGATTTATCTTGTAATTTGTTCCTTTTTATTGCTAATTAATGTTCCATTGCATAGATATACCAGAATGTTTGTTTATTATCAAGGTCAAATAACAATATAGAGATGAATCTCTAAACAAAACATCTTATTTGGGGAAATAGAATTGCAATTCAAGGCATACACATAGCCTGGGGTGGTCTCCAGTATGTCAAAGAACAAAGAAAGAGTTTGGGAGTCTTATTAGAGAGAGAAATGCTATGTATCATTTGAAGGAGAGCTCATTGACACTGACACTAGTGAAGCTTTTGGGAGTTGGCAAGCTGTGATTGGTGAGTGATGGCAATAGGTAAAACTAGTCTTAGAGTCATGGCAGGTCATTTCAGTAGCTACCAGGTAAAACTGGTCTAAGGGTTGCAGCCCTGTTTCAGCAGCTGGACTTGCAGAAAATTCTTGGAGCAGGTATTATGTGCCCCAATTGCTTGACCCCTCAACTCTGATTTAGTGTGGGAATGACAAGAATGACCCAGTTTGTACAACTTTCACATCATTAACCCATTAATGGACTTTTAGGTCTTTTCCACCTTGTGGCTATTTTGATTGGAACTGCTATGAAATTCATGTACAAATCTTTGTCTGGTAATGTCCCATTTTTCTTGGTTAAATACTTAGGAGTGGAATTACTGGGTTG